TTGCTTTTTTTTTTTTTTTTTTTTTTTTTTTTTTTTTTTTTTTTTTTTTTTGCACCCATCTACCTCCAAATTCATTTCATTCAGACTGCCATTTTCATAACTAATTTACATACAAAGACATTGAAGGACTTTCCCCATGCTTACTGAAGATTTTTGACCTCTCAAATGTACCTTTTGTAAACAAATCTTAAATCATTGTTTCTTTCCAGTCTGCAGATCTTAACCAGTCTGCATGTGATATTGTTTGGGAGGTGGCGAAAACCAAGCCAGACACTCTGGTTTGTGGAGGCGTGTCCCCCACTCCATGCTATACCCAAGGGAAGGGTAAAGCTGCTGTTCAGAAACAGTTTCAAAACCAGTGTGAGATCTTTGTCAAAAATAAAGTAGATTTTCTGCTGGGTGAGGTGAGTGTTTTTCTGTAAAACATTAAATGTTCATCAGTCAATGAATACAGCTTTTACCAATGTGTAATCTAGTTTCATAGTGTGGCATTCAAATGTTTTTGTAACGAATACCAAATGAATTGAAATGCCAGTCACTGCAAACAAAATATTTTTATATCTAACACTGATATTTTCATAATTTTGATCTGAATCATTTGGAAAATATCCATTCCCATGTGATTTTTTTAAATATCACTTCACTGAGGTCTAAACATGCACTACAAAGTTACAAAATCTATTCACCAATTGCAATGTATTGTTTTTACATACAAATATTGATGTTGTTTGTAGCTTTATGACAGTACTGCATTTAGTATTTACAAGTTTTTATCTGCATAGTAATGTAACTGTGGATTACTGGAATGGTCTTTCATGATGACTACCTATGGTTTGAAATTTTTTAGTTTTTTGGCCATGTGGAGGAGGCAGAATGGGCCATTGAAGCAATGAAGACTTGTGGTATGCCAGTGGCTTGTACGCTCAGAATTGGGCCTCGCGGGGATTTGGATGGTGTTTCAGCTGGAGAATGTGCTGTCAGAATGGCCCGAGCAGGTAATATACAATGCAGATAAGACATCTACAAAACAAAATAATAATGATTTTCTAAGAAATTTCAGCAATTTCCTCTTAATCACCAGCCTGAGGCTATACCCTATCCAAACTGGTTGAAAGATTATGATCTATAAGATTTGGCTAATGAATTTAATTCTACGTGTATATTTTTGTTTTCTAGAGGCATGGATAAAAAATTTCTCAGCAGTTTGAATGTATTGCAACTTGGTAATTAAAGTTTTTTGAAATTTTCAGAAAAAGTTGATTTTTTAGTTATACTGAATTGTATATTTAAATCTAGGTGTGTTCAACTTCAGAGTACTGTTGCTTGGTTATGTACCTATAATGTAATAGTGCCCCTGGATGGCATGCAGCCACTTCACAAACTCTCAAAAACTGGTTTTAACAACAGAATTTTAGCTAACTAAACTGAGTGTCGCCAAAAAATTTTAAGGGCATTCAGTTCATCTTTTAGTAAAACTGTAGAACAATTTATATCAGTAGGGTATTTACATATACCCTAAATTTATGTCAACTGTATTTATTATGAACCAATTGTACATAAAACCCTTTTAGACCAATAGCACTAGGTCAACTGTATGTATTTACCAATCAAAGTGTAGTACTCTATGCAAATAGACTCCCAGCATTATTGCTATTTACTCATCTTAGTGCATACATACTGGTATGTGATATACAGTAATATATTTAGAGGAGTAAGAAAGAAAAATTCAAAATCACATTATTTTTTCACAAAGTTATTTCTAAGTTGGTATAACATTAAAACATTTGTAGCATCATTTGTAAGACTGGCACCTATGTGTAATTTTTTATTTCCAGTGTGCTGTATGTATATTATAAGGAAGATGTTACAGCTTTGATACATGACTTATAACTACGATGTAAAAGTAAGAAATAGATATATAATATTTGTATAGATGCATAAGAAGATATCTATATTATTGTTTTTCAAACTCCTCTTTATACATGTAAAATTAATGTATAAAATAGTTTGATTTTAGTGAAAGTTTAGAAAATTTCTTTATTCAGGGTGTGACATAGTGGGCCTCAACTGCTCCTTTGACTTCCACACAGAACTTAAAACAATCAAGATCATGAAGGATGCTTTGGCTGCCGAGGGCTTGACACCATATCTTATGACCCAGCCTGTTGGATATCACCTTCCGGAGGTGGAGAATAGCATTGTGGGTTACTATGATCTCCCGGAGTATCCTCTAGGTAAGATATTGAAAGGCAAAGGATTTCAATTATGTTTCTGTAACAAAACTTAAACAATACTAATTTATTAATACGTTTATGTATTTCATACCTTGATGGTCTTACTTCAGTTAGATATATTTATAATATTATAGTTATGATACAGGGAATTTTTGAATAAATGGTGCTTGGTATCAAAAACCAGAAAATTGTCCGTGCTTCCTACAAGTAGTTTTTACTGACAAATTTATTAATCCTAAAGCATATGTTTATTTTAAATTATGGAAAATCAAATTCATTCACATAGTAATCAGTCTATCAAAAAAACTGTACACAAAATGTCAAAGGCTGCGTTTCCACAAACCCATCATATTAGCTGGATCGATCTAACTCTGCGGGGATTCTCGCTAAATTGTATTCAGTATAAGCAGCTAAATGTCTGGCACACCTTCTGCTAGGGGGTAATTAACGATAGTCATTTACCCACTAGTTACTCAAGGGGGCATGCCAGACAATTTAGCTGATTACAGTAAGCCAGAAGCCCTGCGGAGTGAGATCATTCCAACTAGTATGATGAGTTTATGAGAACACAGCCAAGGGGTCTTTTAATAAAGTTGCTTTAAATTCAAAAAGGTTGGGCCAGTATAACTTCATTTACTTGATCGCTGTGAAGTATAGATTTTAGTTTGTCCATTAAATTGTTGTCTAATAAACGTTATCAAATCAGTTGTTCATTTTCATTCCACCAGTTTTGCCTGTTAAATCCCATCAAATAATATTCCAGTTTTCTTTATGTTAATTTTATTTAAAACTGTGGTGAGAAAGCATGCACTTTCCTACACCATTTACCTACTTCACAATGTTACAGCCCTGGAACCCCGTTTGCTGGTGCGTTTTGACTGTCGTGAGTATGCTCGCAAAGCCTACGAGCTTGGCGTACATTACATAGGAGGTTGCTGTGGATTTGAGCCCTACCATATGAGGGAGGTTGCAGAAGAAGTATGTTTAAGTTTATTTTCTATCCAATTTTTAGAATAAAATATTTTTATTTTACTCTGGAAATAAGGTTTTCATCTTGCAATGACTTTTATGCAAATCTGTTTGTGCATGAATATTTCTGCCTATCAGATGCATGTGTCTGTGCACAAAAGTCCTTTAAGACTGCACGGAATATGTTTAATGCATATCTTTATCACAATCTCATTTTACATATGGTGACACAGAAAGGAATAACTTGATATAGAATAATATAGAAACCTTTATTTTATTATTATTAATTTATTTTATTTATTTATTTTTTTTACAAAGCTGGCTCCAGAAAGGGGTGGAATCAGACCACCAGGAGCTGACAAAAATTCTAACTGGGGAGACGCCTTGGCAGAGTCCACTATAACACCTCATGTAGCAATAAGGTAAAGCAACATATCATTTCTGTACTTTCCTACATAAATATTGTTTATCTGTATATATCTTTGCCCTCGATACAGACCCTCAATATTGGCAACTTTCTGATACTTCCAATTATTTTAACCCATATATTACCATGGCTGTTAAAGTAGTGATGAACTATACATATATATTTATATCTATGTACAAATATCAGGTAGATAATAAACATCTCCTATATTATCATATAAATTCACCAAACATCTTGTTTGGGATTTCAGTGAAATTTCTCTTTATGTATTTTATAATCATCATTATTATTTTATTGACTGATATGACATTCTACAATCAGGCACACTAAAGAATACTGGGAGACGGTGATCCCAGCTTCAGGAAGACCAGGTGGGCGTCTGACCAATGAACTTGTTGCCTACGAAGGTCAACTGAAATAAGAGAGAAAACTTTAACAGAAGAGCTTCCAGTGTCATTTGACAACTAACATTGCAATCTATTCATGTTCAATCAATAAAGATAAAACTGTTGATGTTTTAAATGTATTGCAAAATGTAACTGTTACACAAGATTAATCCCTGTAGAAAAATATTGATGTTAGAAAAATTGGATGCAGTCAGATTGTTACATGGATCATTCTTAAAATTTAATACTACTAGTATTAACTAACCACTGTTTGATTTTTTTAATAACTTTAGTAAATGTTCATTTTTTTTAAATTAGGAAAATGTAAATCAGTGGCGTAACTGAAAAAAAAAATTGAAGATTTTATTGTGTCCAAATAATTTTTAAAGGCAGGACAGAAGTGCAGTTCATAAGAAATAGAGCTAGATCTATAGAGTAAGTTTAAAAGTGCTGCAATGGCTCTGAATGCTTCTAACAATCATGACAGAAGTTTTTATTCATGAAGCATGACAATATGTCGCTGGTTATGAAAAGCACATTTACATAAAAATTTACACAGTACAAGTAGGTACATTCAGGAACAGATGCACTGTATACAGTGTTCATTACCAATATCTGCTCATTTATTTACATTTCTTTTTACAATTATACACATAACTACATATGATAAAGTTTTTAGAGACTAAAAGCAATTCATTTTTCAGCACACTAGGTTAAATGAATGGTAGTTGTTATATAATTACACCATGTAATGCTAAGTTTACTACGTTTGGTGGGTGCGTAATATCTAAAGCTTATAATACACTGTCGTGATCATTTGACTCCAGTAATCACTTTATATTATCAGGTGATTGCACCAGCAGTTTCTGAAGGTGCTGGCCAACAGTTAATGATGGATAGTTCATACATGTAACTACCCTGAAAAAGAGAGTTGGGTTTGGTTGGGTTGTGCAGCCAGCTGAGCATGCTCTGGTGTCTCAATTTTGGGCTGTGTTCCTCTAATAGGCCACCTTCTGGTGAGGCTTTTAACTTACAAATGTACCTCCAATGTATTCAAATTGTACAATCAATAATAAATATTTTGGAAGTGTTCAGTTTTTATTATTTTATTCTTTTTATTATAAAATTGAATTTAAAATTACTTCTGGCAGTGTCTTTTACTTCCATCAAAAAATAATGTTCCAAACTTTGACTAGACATTAAACTGTAATGGAAATAAGGTATTTTTGCTTGTTCAGTTTAAGAGCGCATTCCCATAGATTTTAGATCGATCTATCCCCGTAGGGAGTCTCACTAGATTACTGTCAGATAATCCGGCTTAAATGTCCTTCCTGCCTACTACAAGCTGTAAGGGGGTAATTAACTTTCGTGCCCGCTCGGCTGACAGCTATTTAGCGTGAACTCCCAGGGAGTTAAATCGATCTAGTAAGATCGATCTAATCTCTGGGAATGGGGTCTAAGTCATACAAATGAGATGGCATGATCTTATGTAAATCTTTTGCCAAATTCGTCACCTTTTTATTGGAAAATCATTTCTGCAACAAGTCTCAAGTTGAGCAAATATTACCTACTGAGACAGATGAAAGAATGCATCTTTTCCCTCTATTGAATAATATTCACATCATTAGGAAATGGAGTCAGTTGTGTCAAGCAAAATATGTCAACTGTCACAGTTCATAAAACCTGTAATTTTTCTACCATTGGTGTTTCAGATTGATCTACATTTTCAGCATTTACGCCAGCAGATTCTTGACATTGGTGATAAAATCTTATCTTTAACTCTCACTATCTACCTCAGTGTATGTCAACAAATATACAATTAGTATTTGTAAGTTATCTCCAAAAGTAAGGGCCTTAAGATCTAGCTCCCTCAGCAAATTGAACAAGGATTGCCACTGATAAGCGCAATAAGGTAGCAGGACAGCATACTGGTACTTTTCTAAACATTAACCTTATTTTCAATGGAGTTGAATGTCAAGTAACAAATTTCAAAAACAACATCAGAGTTTGTCTTTGAATAGGTGTTTGATAGAAAGTTTGCCTGTGCTGCTATCAAATTTCACTATACCAGTAAAACTAGATAGACAAGTCATGAGTTAGCAAGTACTTGCAAACTAGGACACACTTATTTAACAAATATTAACTAATGATCGCTGACTTACTGAATACAGTACACATAGTTGCCTGACACCATTTACCTTTTATGTACAAATATGTCTGTAAATATATCCGTTACCTGCATCTTTTGCCCTGCACTTTCACTGTTACGATAAGTGGAAAAATGTTTTCAAATTAATGGAACTGATGACTATTAATAAAATACAGGTCGATACAGCATGATCGGGCCATTTTTCAAAATTATGCTGTTTTTTATGCTCTTTATACTTTTTTTTTAGCATATATGACTTGGAACTTCCATGGGATTGAAGACCTTTGCTAGTCACATTTTCTGAATATCCATGCTGCTATTATTTTGTAATAAAAAAATTGATGGCCATTATGCTGTTAAGCATTTTGTAATATTGTATCAAAACTGAAGCAAAACTCTATTTTGGGCACTGCCTCCATAGTAACCATGAAAGAAAAAACATGTCACTTACTCTTCTTAAACTTACAGAAAAGAAACATAGGGCTAAAATGCAGTCTGAGTTAGAAAAGCAGTCTAATTGTCCCCCTTTTTTTTAAATCCATTTTTGTGAATTTTTTATCTTTCACATATTGGTATTTTCAGTGTGGGACTTGGAACTCCCACAGGCATGAAGCCTTATGGTAATCAAATTTTTTAAGTGTCCATGTCATTAATAGTAATAAAACATTCATGGTAATTATACAGTTAATCATATGTAATATTGCATCAAAATTGACAAAAAACCTACTTCATGCACTGCCACCATAAATGCTATATTTACCTTTTATATGAAATACATGTACTAATATCCACCTAATTGAAATTAATGGTTAAATTTTCAAAATACTGAGGATATATTTCTTGCTCATGTGTTTTATTATTTACAGTGATAACCTTATCTGGACATTCTGATGATGAATAATATAAGATGTGAAGGTCAGTGGACCACAGGATATCACTTAAGATTCATGGGACAAATAATAGTCTGCCTTCCTCTGAAGAAAGCAAGTTAAAAAAGAACATAATGATTGTCACTTTGCATAGCAATATCAGCCTGTTTTAATAGACCAATTTAATTTGCTTTTTGCAATGGCGTTGTCCAGTGATGAATTGGCTTTATTCTAAATTATAACACAAGTATTAAACATTCACAAAAAAGTGCTATTACAATTACGAAAAANTCCTTTAAGAAGACATGTGCATGCTACACTTTACATACGGAAATTTTGAACAGTTTTCCAATTAAGAGCTAGTGGGTCATTTAAGCTTTTCTAAATGTTTGTGCAGTTCTGAACAACTTTCATTTATTTAATTGTTGATAATACAAGATGTTGTGAACCATCCGAATGACTTTGACTTCATTTTATAATTGTACTGAATTCCAGTATATTTATTTTCATCAACAAAGGGCTTTGACCCAACTCAGTCTTCCACTTCACCTGCAAAGCATAACAAAAAAACTAACATGTTGAGTTCCAAAACTAAAATTTATGCTATACGCTTTATCTAAGTGGATCAATATGAGTGCAACAGTAAATTCAAGTGACTTACATTCTTATTGTTGTGCAACAGGTGAGAGTTTCTTCTTATCAGATTTAAGTTATCCCTCTAGCTGTATCAGCCATATCTACACATAGAATGACAATGAAACATTTATGCAAGACTGAGGCAAATTAAATGGTAACACGTTGATTAAATATGAATGCATAATATGGAATTGGAGGTTTCCAGAAAGGTATCTGCTGCATTCAATCAACACCTGCAAGATAACATTTTTCACATTTTTAGTAGGTGGCAATGGGAAAGAAGGGCATCCTAGAACGGTTGGCTGAGGGGCCAGTGATAGGAGATGGGAGCTATGTCATTACACTAGAAAAAAGGGGCTATGTAAAGGCAGGGCCATTTACACCAGAGGCTGCTATTGAATATCCAGATGCAGGTAATTTTTTTTTTTTTTTTCATGAGAACAGGATGATTTCATGTGAAGTCAAAACCAGAAGTTTTAAACATATTGAGTAGGTATTTGGAAGATGGTTCTTTATTTATTTATTTATTTATTTATTTATTTATTTATTTTAATCATGTCAAATTTGATACAGGACAATTTGTGCACAAAGTTTGGAAAATATCCAGGTATATATCTTATCATATATTTCCCTCATTTTGAATTAAAACCAAACAACATTGACCTCAGAAGGGAATTCAATTATAAACATACCACCTTAATCCAGCCACTGATGAAAGTTGCCCCATATTCTGGTATTACAACACAGAATAAATGATTAATGCAAAGTTTATCTATCTAACAGGTTTATTAGAGCATAATTATCAAATGAGAACAAGGCACCAGGTCAACTTGACCATTACTGCTCAACTGAAATTGTCTTTGACTGGGTTTTCTGTAAGCTTTCAGTGTCGTGTGGGTTTCCCTTTGTTTTTTGAAAAACTTATTGACTCTGAAACTCATTTTGTGTGTAGACTGTTCCATTATTTAAATTAATTAAATGTTTTTTAATATGATTTTGGAAGGCAGGCACCAGAACATAAAACTTAAATAATTATACATTATCAAGTTCTAATACAGGGCAAAACCAATACTCGTACAACTATCCCAAGCACTAAGTGCAGGCTAATAAATGTCCTTGTAATATATGAAATTAAGACTTTTACATCATAATTTCCTTTGCTAATTGAATGAAGATGGCATAGTGAAGAAATACAACAGGAAAGCTTAACGTAAATTATGTAAATGCTTATAATGTTATGTGTGTTCAAATCTGTTTCTCAAATAGTTCGGCAACTGCATAGAGATTTTCTGCGAGCAGGAGCAGATGTACTGCAGGCTTTTACTTTTTACTCAACTGATGGGAAACTTAGCACTTCTGAGGGAGGAAAAGTATTTACAGTAAGTGCCTTTCCCCTTAACGGGACACCACCCCTCCCCAATTTAGAGTAAGGCATATTTTTAAAACTATACAAGGGAGGCTCAAGCTGGTTTGGCAATTTGTTATTGCCTGCTTGCTTTTTTTTTTTTTTTTCACCCATCTACCTCCTAATTCATTTCATTCAGACTGATTTTAGTGCCATTTTCATAACTAATTTACATACAAAGACATTGAAGGACTTTCCCCATGCTTACTGAAGATTTTTGACCTCTCAAATGTACCTTTTGTAAACAAATCTTAAATCATTGTTTCTTTCCAGTCTGCAGATCTTAACCAGTCTGCATGTGATATTGTTTGGGAGGTGGCGAAAACCAAGCCAGACACTCTGGTTTGTGGAGGCGTCTCTCCCACTCCATGCTATACCCAAGGGAAGGGTAAAGCTGCTGTTCAGAAACAGTTTCAAAACCAGTGTGAGATCTTTGTCAAAAATAAAGTAGATTTTCTGCTGGGTGAGGTGAGTGTTTTTCTGTAAAACATTTAAATGTTCACCAGTCAATGAATACAGCTTTTACCAATGTGTAATCTAGTTTCATAGTGTGGCATTCGAATGTTTTTGTAAAGAGTACCAAATGAATTGCCTTCCAGTCACTTCAAACAAAATATTTTTATATCTAACACTGATATTTTCATAATTTTGATCTGAATCATTTGGAAAATATCCATTCCCATGTGATTTTTTTAAATATCACTTCACTGAGGTCTAAACATGCACTCCAAAGTTACAAAATCTATTCACCAATTGCAATGTATTGTTTTTACATACAAATATTGATGTTGTTTGTAGCTTTATGACAGTACTGCATTTAGTATTTACAAGTTTTTATCTGCACAGTAACGTAACTGGAATGGTCTTTCATGATGACTACCTATGGTTTGAAACTTTTTTAGTTTTTTGGCCATGTGGAGGAGGCAGAATGGGCCATTGAAGCAATGAAGACTTGTGGTATGCCAGTGGCTTGTACGCTCAGAATTGGGCCTCGCGGGGATTTGGATGGTGTTTCAGCTGGAGAATGTGCTGTCAGAATGGCCCGAGCAGGTAATATACAATGCAGATTAGACATCTACAAAACAAAAAAATAATGATTTTCTAAGAAATTTCAGCAATTTCCTCTTAATCACCAGCCTGAGGCTATACCCTATCCAAACTGGTTGAAAGATTATGATCTATAAGATTTGGCTAATGAATTTAATTCTACGTGTATATTTTTGTTTTCTAGAGGCATGGATAAAAAATTTCTCAGCAGTTTGAATGTATTGCAACTTGGTAATTAAAGTTTTTTGAAATTTTCAGAAAAAGTTGATTTTTTAGTTATACTGAATTGTATATTTAAATCTAGGTGTGTTCAACTTCAGAGTACTGTTGCTTGGTTATGTACCTATAATGTAATAGTGCCCCTGGATGGCATGCAGCCACTTCACAAACTCTCAAAAACTGGTTTTAACAACAGAATTTTAGCTAACTAAACTGAGTGTCGCCAAAAATTTTAAGGGCATTCAGTTCATCTTTTAGTAAAACTGTAGAACAATTTATATCAGTAGGGTATTTACATATACCCTAAATTTATGTCAACTGTGTTTATTATGAACCAATTGTGCATAAAACCCTTTTAGACCAATAGCACTAGGTCAACTGTATTTATTTACCAATCAAAGTGTAGTATTCTATGCATATAGACTCCCAGCATTATTGCTATTTACTCATCTTAGTGCATACATACTGGTATGTGATATACAGTAATATATTTAGAGGAGTAAGAAAGAAAAATTCAAAATCATGTTATTTTTTCACAAAGTTATTTCTAAGTTGGTATAACATTAAAACATTTGTAGCATCATTTTTAAGACTGGCACCTATGTGTAATTTTTTATTTCCAGTGTGCTGTATGTATATTATAAGGAAGATGTTACAGCTTTGATACATGACTTATAACTACGATGTAAAAGTAAGAAATAGATGTATAATATTTGTATAGATGCATAAGAAGATATCTATATTATTGTTTTTCAAACTCCTCTTTATACATGTAAAATTATGGTATAAAATAGTTTGATTTTAGTGAAAGTTTAGAAAATTTCTTTATTCAGGGTGTGACATAGTGGGCCTCAACTGCTCCTTTGACTTCCACACAGAACTTAAAACAATCAAGATCATGAAGGATGCTTTGGCTGCCGAGGGCTTGACACCATATCTTATGACCCAGCCTGTTGGATATCACCTTCCCGAGGTGGAGAATAGCATTGTAGGTTACTATGATCTCCCGGAGTATCCTCTAGGTAAGATATTGAAAGGCAAAGGATTTCAATTATGTTTCTTTAACAAAACTTAAAAATACTAATTTATTAATATGTTTATGTATTTCATACCTTGATGTCTTACTTCAGTTAGATATATTATAATATTATAGTTATGATACAGGGAATTTTTGAATAAATGGTGCTTGGTATCAAAAACCAGAAAATTGTCCATGCTTCCTACAAGTAGGTTTTACTGACAAATTTGATAATCCTAAAGCATATGTTTATTTCAGATTATGAAAAATCAAGTATCATTCACATAGTATTCATTCTATTAAAAAAACTGTACACAAAATGTCAAAGGGAGCGTTTCCACAAACCCATCGTATAAGCTGGATCAATCTAACTCTGCGGGGAATCTCGCTAAATTACATTCAGTGTAAGCAGCTAAATGTCTGGCACACCTTCTCAAACTGCTAGGGGGTAATTAACAATAGTCATTTACCCACTAGTTACTCAAGGGGGCGTGCCAGACAATTTAGCTGATTTCAGTAAGCCAGAAGCCCTGCAGAGTGAGATCATTCCAACTAGTATGATGAGTTTATGAGAACACAGCCAAAGGGGTCTTTTAATAAAGTTTCTTTAAATTCAAAAAGGTTGGGCCAGTATAACTTCATTTACTTGATCGCTGTGAAGTATGATTTTGGTTTGTCCATTAAATTGTTGCCTAATAAACGTTATCAAATCAGTTGTTCATTTTCATTCCACCAGTTTTGTCTATTTCAGACAGGGGATGTTAAATCCCATCAAGTAATACTCAAGTTTTGTTTATGTTAATTTAATTTAAAACTGTGATGAGAAAGCATTTACATTCCAACACCATTTACCTACTACACAATGCTCAATGTTACAGCCCTGGAACCTCGTTTGCTGGTGCGTTTTGACTGTCGTGAGTATGCTCGCAAAGCCTATGAGCTTGGCGTACGTTACATAGGAGGTTGCTGTGGATTTGAGCCCTACCATATGAGGGAGGTTGCAGAAGAAGTATGTTTAAGTCTATTTTCTATCCAATTTTTAGAATAAAATATTTTTATTTTACTCTGGAAATTTTAAGTTTTTTGTCTTGCAATGACTTTTATGCAAATCTGTTTGTGCATGCATATTTCTGCCTATTCAAATGCATGTCTGTGCATAAAAGTCCTTTAAGACTGCACGGGGTATGTTTAATGCATATCTTTATCACAATCTCATTTTACATATGGTGACACAGAAAGGAATAACTGTGATATAGAATAATATAGAAACATTTATTTTATTATTTATTTTATTTTTTTTTTTACAAAGCTGGCTCCAGAAAGGGGTGGAATCAGACCACCAGGAGCTGACAAAAATTCTAACTGGGGAGATGCCTTGGCAGAGTCCACTATAACACCTCATGTAGCAATAAGGTAAAGCAACATATCATTTCTGTACTTTTCTACATAAATGTTTATCTGTCCCAGAGACAGACCCTCAATATTGGCAACTTTCTGATACTTCCAATTATTTTAACCCATGTATTACCATGGCTGTTAAAGTAGTGATGAACTATACATATATGTTTGTATCTATGTACAAATATCAGGTAGATGACAAACATCTCATATATTATCATATAAATTCACCAAACATCTTGCTTGGGATTTCAGTGAAATTTCTCTTTATGTATTTTAAAATCATCATTATTATTTTATTGACTGATATGACATTCTACAATCAGGCACACTAAAGAATACTGGGAGAGGGTGATCCCAGCTTCAGGAAGACCAGGTGGGCGTCTGACCAATGAACTTGTTGCCTACGAAGGTCAACTGAAATAAGAGAGAAAACTTTAACAGAAGAGCTTCCAGTGTCATTTGACAACTAACATTGCAATCTATTCATGTTCAATCAATAAAGATAAAACTGTTGATGTTTTAAATGTATTGCAAAATGTAACTGTTACACAAGATTAATCCCTGTAGAAAAATGTTGATGATAGAAAAATTGGATGCAGTCAAATTGTTCCATGGATCATTCTTAAAATTTAATACTACTAGTATTAACCACTGTTTGATTTTTTAATAACTTCAGTAAATGTGCATTTTTTTTAATTAGGAAAATGTAAATCAATGGCGTAACTGAAAAAAAAATTGAAGATTTCATTGTGTCCAAATAATTTTTAAAGGCAGGAGAAAAGTGCAGTTCATAAGAAATAGAGCTAGAGTAAGTTTAAAAGTGCTGCAATGGCTCTGAATGCTTCTAACAATCATGACAGAAGTTTTTATTCATGAAGCATGACAATATGTCGCTGGTTATGGAAAGCACATTTACATAAAAATTTACACAGTATAAGCAGGTACATTCAAGAACAGATGCACTGTATACTGTGTTCATTACCAATATCTGCTCATTTATTTACATTTCTACACATTTCTTTTTACAAGTATACACATAACTACATATGATCAAGTTTTTAGAAACTAAAAGCAATTCATTTTTCAGCACACTTGATTGAAAATGAATGGTAGTTGTTATATAATTACACCATGTAATGCTAAGTTTACTACATTTTGATGGGTGCATAATATCTAAAGCTTATAATACACTGTCGTGATCATTTGACTCCAGTAATCACTTTATATTATCAGGTGATTGCACCAGCAGTTTCTGAAGGTGCTGGCCGACAGTTAATGATGGGTCGTTCATACATGTAACTACCCTGAAAAAGAGAGTTGGGTTTGGTTGGGTTGTGCAGCCAGCTGAGCATGCTCTGGTGTCTCAATTTTGGGCTGTGTTCCTCTAATAGGCCACCTTCTGGTGAGGCTTTTAACTTACAAATGTACCTCCAATGTATTCAAATTGTACAATCAATAATAAATATTTTGGAAGTGTTCAGTTTTTATTATTTTATTCTTTTTATTATAAAATTGAATTTAAAATTACTTCTGCCCGTGTCTTTTACTTCCATCAAAAAGAAATGTTCCAAACTTCGACTAGACATTTAACTGTATAAATGGAAATAAGGTATTTTTGCTTGTTCAGTTTAAGTCATACAAATGAGATGGCATGATCTTATGTAAATCTTTTATTTTGCCAAATTCATCACCTTTTTATTGGAAAATCATTTCGGCGACAAGTCTCAAGTTGAGCAAATATTACCTACTGAGACAGATGAAAGAGTGCATCTTTTCCCTCTATTGAATAATATTCACATCATTGGGAAATGGAGTCAGTTGTGTCAAGCAAAATATGTCAACTGGCACAGTTCATAAAACCTGTAATTTTTCTGCCATTGGTGTTTCAGATTGATCTACATTTTCAGCATTTACGCCAGCAGATTCTTGAAATTTGTGATAAAATCTTACCTTTAACTCTCACTATCTACCTCAGTGTATGTCAACAAATATACAATTAGTATTTGTAAGTTATCTCCAAAAGTAAGGGCCTTAAGGTCTAGCTCCCTCAGCAAATTGAACAAGGACTGCCACTGATAAGCGCAATAAGGTAGCAGGACAGCATACTGGTACTATTCTAAACATTAACCTCATTTTCAATGGAGTTGAATGTCAAGTAACAAATTTCAAAAACAACATCAGAGTTTGTCTTTGAATAGGTGTTTGATAGGAAGTTTGCCTGTGCTGCTATCAAATTTCACTATACCAGTAAAACTAGATAGACATGTCATGAGTTAGCAAAAAAATAATAATATTGCTCATGGAGCAAGTACTTGCAAACTAGGACACGCTTAATTTAACAAATATTAACTAATGATCGTTGACTTACTGAATACAGTGCACATAATTGCCTGACACCATTTACCTTTTATGTACAGTATGGTCTGTAAATATATCCGTTACCTGCATCTTTTGCCCTGCACTTTCACTGTTACAATAAGTGGAAAAATGTTTTCAAATTAACGGAACTGATGACTATTAATAAAATACAGGTCGGGTTCGAAAATCGGCATGATCGGGCCATTTTTCAAAATTATGCTGTTTTTTATGCTCTTTATACTTTTTTTTTAGCATATATGACTGGAACTTCCATGGGATTGAAGACCTTTGCTAGTCACATTTTCTGAATATCCATGCTACTTTATTTTATAATAAAAAAATTGATGGCCATTATGCTGTTAAGCATTTTGTAATATTGTATCAAAACTGAAGCAAAACTCTATTTTGGGCACTGCCTCCATAGTAACCATGAAAGAAAAAACATGTCACTTACTCTTCTTAAACTTACAGAAAAGAAACATAGGGCTAAAATGCAGTCTGAGTTAGAAAAGCAGTCTAATTGTCCCCCTTTTTTTTTAATCCATTTTTGTGAATTTTTTATCTTTCACATATTGGTATTTTCAGTGTGGGACTTGGTACTCCCACAGGCATGAAGCCTAATGGTAATCAAATTTTGTAAGTGTCCATGTCATTAATAGTAATTAAACATTCATGGTAATTATACAGTTAATCATATGTAATATTGCATCAAAATTGACAAAAAACCTACTTCATGCACTGCCACCATAAATGCTATATTTACCTTTTATATGAAATACATGTACTAATATCCACCTAGTTGAAATTAATGGTTAAATTTTCAAAATACTGAGGATATATTTCTTGCTCATGTGTTTTATTATTTACAGTGATAACCTTATCTGGACATTCTGCTGATGAATAATATAAGATGTGAAGGTCAGTGGACCACAGGATATCACTTAAGATTCATGGGACAAATAATAGTCTGCCTTCCTCTGAAGAAAGCAAGTTAAAAAAGAACATAATGATTGTCACTTTGCATAGCAATATCAGCCTGTTTTAATAGACCAATTTAATTTGCTTTTTGCAATGGCGTTGTCCAGTGATGAATTGGCTTTATTCTAAATTATAACACAAGTATTAAACATTCACAAAAAAGTGCTATTACAATTACAAAAAAAGTGCTATTATCATCTTTATGCAAACTCATGTCTAGAGTATATCCCTCCATATGTTTACTTTTTATAATATCTGACTGGAGTGGTCAGCATGCAGGGGCGTAACCAGACCTTTTAAAATTGTACGCACAGATTTTGAAAATTCCCAGGTACGATTATATTCCGTGAAAAATACACTGAATTTATGGAGAATAATATCATGGTTGGCTAAAAAAATTGTACGCACAGTGCATCCGTGCGTATGCCTGGTTACGCCCCTGGCATGTTACATGTAAGTGTGGGTTGGGCAACAAAGGATTAAATGGAAGAGAGTTGAAACTAATAAGAACATTGAGGAAGAAAGAAGTTTAAATGAATAAAGATCAAGGACATTTCTTTATCATTCTGTAAATAAAACACCTTCGCTTTGCAACAAGTTCACAAAACTAGCTGTTCACTTAAATATGGATAGCATTATGTAATAGCCGAGCTACATGTCTAGCTAAAGTGTAGGACTAAGGTACAAAGACTTATCTACAGGTACTTAGTATATAGGTCATCACTAGGTCTTACTGCAGAGGCTCAACAATCTCCAATTCTAGCGATGCCTATAGCTACAGTTTCTAGGTCTTTGTCTACATTTGTTCAGAGAGGAAACTATGGCAGAATTTGCAGAATTTCAAAGGTAAGTTTAAATGTGAAGCATTATTTTTATGTGCAGAGAGACACATTTAATGTCCGCCAAATACCAGCCATTACTGTAGGCTTTCAATGGTGCATTGTGCTGATTCTTGGTAGTTTCAATACTTGACTCCTGGATGGTCAAGTCTAAAAGCCGCCCTCTCCAAAGTCTATGTTGTACATGTACAGTATGTCTCAAGTCGATGTTATGGGTTCATTGGATAACATGCTGTGTGAAAAATCAGTAACTTGTGCTATGCGAGGACATTTATTTGTTGAATTTGTCATTTTCATAAAGTAAAGTTGTTGAATAGAATTGTTTGTTCTGGATGTCATTTAATTTTTTTTTTTTGTCTGTTTCAGTTTGGCTTCTGCACTGTCCCCAAAAGGAAAGGCATTTTAGAGAGGCTTGCTGAAGGTCCTGTCATAGGAGATGGCAGCTATGTTATAACATTAGAAAAAAGAGGCTACTTGAAAATGGGACCTTTCACACCAGAGGCAGCCATTGAACACCCCGATGCTGGTAATTATAACTTAATAGTACATGTAGTAATCTCTAATACTACGGAGAACAAGCATGCTGTGCTGGGTGGTGTTTTAGGTTCCGTTCACATGGAAAATCTATTTTCTAAAAATCTAAAAATCTATTTTCGGTATCTTGTTATCACGGTCTGTGCCCTGGATACCCTGCAGCGTAATCCCTGGCAGCGCGAGCGAGTTACTTCCAAAGCTGTAATTAATTCTCGGCTGTGCTCGGAAGAGATTCTGATACCTTGACACATGCGCAGTAGTATCTCTCACATTGTTGAAACATTTCCTGTTGATAAAAATAGCAAACATTACCTTTCCCGAGACCAGATAGTCCTCTCAGGTGAAACGATCAGCAAAGACAACAAAAGCAGCATCAACTGTTTTTGCCTCCTAGCTCGCATTCTATAAATCTCATCCTCCGTTGCCGCATCCCTTGCCATCAGATCATGACGGTTGCACTGGTATCTGTTGTGTGTAAAGCTTCTTCATCTTCTTCGTCTTGTTGTTGCACAAAATCCACAAACACATTTTTCAAAGCAACTGCCATTTACTTTCTAACTTCCTACTGCGCATGCATCAAGGTATCAGAATCTCCTCCGAGCGCAGCCAAGAATTTATAACAGCTTTGGAAGTAACTCGCTTGCGCTCCCAGTAATTACACCATGGGGTATCCAGGGCACAGACCGTGATCACAAGATACCGAAAATAGATTTTTAGAAAATAGATTTTCCATGTGAATGGAGCCTTAGACCTCATTCCCAGAGATTAGATCGATCCAACTAGATTGACCTAACTCCCTGGGGGTTCACGCTAAATAGCTGTCAGCCGAGCTGGCACGAAAGTTAATTACCCCCTTACAGCTTGTAGTAAGCGGGATGGACATTTAAGCCGGATTATCAGACAGTAATCTAGTGAGACTCCCCACGGGACAGATCGATCTAAAATCTATGGGAATGCGCCCTTAAGTGATGGTCTGGGGGATGGAAGGGAGGGTGTAGCTTTTATTGCCCAATTTAATTGTCTTGGTTTTTTTTCTTTAGGTGTTACACCCATATTTTTCAGATTTTTGATTAGTTGCTCTCACAAGCCAGATATAACATGGCTTTACCTGTTTTGACAAAAATAGTTCCATAAAAATATAATAAGAAAAAGAAAATTGATATTTACCGAACTACACAATTATCTGTCACATTTTTTCTAAATCCAATAAGTTCGCCAGTTGCACAGAGAATTTCAAAGAGCAGGAGCAGATGTCCTTCAAGCCTTCACATTCTACTCAACTGATGGAAAACTCAATATAGTGGAAGGAAAAAAGGATTATGCAGTAAGTATACATAAGTCTCAAAGTTGCTGACTCTAGGCTTTATTTTGTGTTTTACTTATTATTTAGGATGGATTCTAATTGTTCATCTGTGCTGTTCTTATGTTAATAAGACATTAGACAAACAACAGATCTATGGATTTTGAGCACTGGCAACTCTGCAGTCCAGATGATGAGTACCCTGCTACACTGTACATTCACTGTATCTCATCATCTATTTACTATTCTATTCTTTATCTTTCTTTTTCTTTCTTTTTCCTTTTCCATTTTTTTAATTAATTATTCTTCTGTCCTTTTATTTATCTTTCCCTTGTTTGTTTGTTTGTTTGTTTGTTTGTTTGTTTGTTTGTTTGTTTGTTTNAAGGGGCGTCTAAAAGACGCACGCGTAGGCTCCTATGGGCCATGGTACAATACTTGACTCCTGGATGGTCAAGTCTAAAAGCCACCCTCTCCAAAGTCTATGTTGTACATGTACAGTATGTCACAAGTCGATGTTATGGGTTCATTGGATAACATGCTGTGTGAAAAATCAGTAACTTGTGCTATGTGAGGACATTTACTTGTTGAATTTGTCATTTTCATTTGTTGAATAGAATTGTTTGTTCTGGATGTCATTTAATTTTTTTAAAATTTTATTTTGTCTGTTTCAGTTTGGCTTCTGCACTGTCCCCAAGAGGAAAGGCATTTTAGAGAGGCTTGCTGAAGGACCTGTCATAGGAGATGGCAGCTATGTTATAACATTAGAAAAAAGAGGCTACTTGAAAATGGGACCTTTCACACCAGAGGCAGCCATTGAACATCCCGATGCTGGTAATTATAACTTATATAATTATAACTTAATTATAACTGGTGGTGTTTTAAGTGATGGTCTGGGGGATGGAAGGAAGGGTGTAGCTTTCATCGCCCAATTTAATTGTCTTCGTTTATTTTTAGGTGTTACACCCATATTTTTCAGATTTTTGTTTAGTTGCTCTCACAAGCCAGATATAACATGGCTTTACCCGTTTTGACAAAAATAGTTCCTTAAAAATATAATAAGAAAAAGAAAATTGATATTTCACATAAAACTACACAATTATCTGTCACATTTTTTCCAAATCCACAAAAAAAAAAAGTTCGCCAGCTGCACAGAGAATTTCAAAGAGCAGGAGCAGACGTCCTTCAAGCATTCACATTCTACTCAACTGATGGAAAGCTCAATATAGTGGAAGGAAAAAAGGATTATGCGGCAAGTATACATACAGTCTCAAAGTTGCTGACTCTAGGCTTTACCTTGTGTTCTACTTATTATGTAGGACAGACTCTAAGAGACCATTCCCACAGATATTTAGATTGATTCTCCCTGGGGAGTCTCACAAGAATGCTGTCAGCTTAACCAGCTTAAATGTCTGTCCCACCTACTAAAAGCTGTAAGGGGGTAATTAACTTTTGTGCACGCTAGGCTCCCGGAAGCTGACAGCAATTTAGCGTGAACCCCCAGAGAGTTAGGTTGATCCAGATGGATCAATCTAAATCTATGGGAACCCAGTCTATTTGTTTATCTGTGTTATTCTTATGTTAATAAGACATTAGACAAACAACAGATCTATGGATTTTGAGCACTGGCAACTCTGCAGTCCAGATGATGAGTACCCTAGCTGCAACACTGTGCAATCACTGTATCTCATCATCTATTTACTATTCTATTCTTTATCTTTCTTTTCCTTTCTTTCTCCTTTTCCATTTTTTAAAAATTAATTAATTATTCTTCTGTCCTTTTATTTTTCTTTCCCTTGTTTGTTTGTTTGTTTGTTTGTTTGTTTGTTTGTTTGTTTGTTTAGCAATTGTGGATGCATGTCTAGCTCTATATAAAAGGTTTGATACATACAAACAATCATAAAAATAAAAAGCAAATTGCAGATATAGGTTTTCTTCACAAGATGAAGTTGTGTTTCATATATATATATATATATATATATATATATATATATATATATATATATATATATATATATATATCATCTGTACTTATCATCCATTCAGGCTGTGGATCTTAACCAGTCTGCATGTGATATTGTTTGGGAGGTGGCAAGGACATCCCCAGATACTCTAGTATGTGGAGGAGTGTCTCCTACCCCAACCTACACACAGGGAAAAGGCAAGGATGCAGTTAAAGAACAGTTTCAGACTCAATGTGACATCTTTATCAAGAACAAAGTAGATTTTCTACTGGGAGAGGTGCGTTTTAGGTAACAGATTTAGGTTCAGCTACCATTCTTTTGAGGCTAGATAATGAAACCAGTTTGTGCCAGTATAAANAGATAATGAAACCAGTTTGTATTAACTTTTTTAATTTTGAATAATTTTGCACAATTTTACATTATTTTACATTTATTCATTTTTATTCATGAACCCCCCTCCCCCCCTCCACACACACATACACTCACGCACACACACACACACACAAATAAAATCCTCTTAGGAAGTTTTGATAAAAGCAAAAGAGTACTAATATAAAACTTCTTTTGGAACATTTATTCATTTATTTTCTCACTTTTAGTTTTTTGGTCATGTGGAGGAGGCAGAGTGGGCCATTGAAGTGATGAAGTCTTGTGGAATGCCAGTTGCTTGTACACTAAGAATAGGCCCCCGCGGAGACCTAGTGGGAGTCCCCCCTGGAGAATGTGCCATCAGAATGGCAAAAAAGGGTAAAATTGTGCACTCGTTGTAACTACTTTAAAAATTCAAACTGTAAGGCAAATCAAAAAGAAACTGGAAAAAACAGGATTTCGTTATAACCTGTTGCCTCCTGTTTAGTAGAATGCAGAGCAGCTGGTGATTATACAAGTATGTTGGAACTTGAGGAGGCATGTGTCTGTAAATCTGAATGCATTCAGTGAGACGTACTCCCGTTAGAGTTAATGTACAATAGCTATTGCGACCCTACTCATTCTGAATGGACCCTAAGAAATAGTGTAGCAGATCTGATCATACAACCAGATTACAAAGGGCCCCCAATCTAATGAAGTTCATATTTGTTTGTCATGCCTGCATGCTACATGAATACATTTTGGGACCTCTGATTTCTAACCGAACATTTTTTGTAATTTATATTTATACATGCTTTTCATCACATGCTGTGTTCTACACACTGAAGGTTTTTGTCTGATGAATGTTCGAAAATGCTTATTTTTAAAAACCTCACAATAAATATNACACACACCCACACACACACACACACACACACACACAAATAAAATCCTTTTAGGAAGTTTTGATAAAAGCAAAAGAGTACTAATATAAAACTTCTTTTGGAACAACATTTATTCATTTATTTTCTCACTTTTAGTTTTTTGGTCATGTGGAGGAGGCAGAGTGGGCCATTGAAGTGATGAAGTCTTGTGGAATGCCCGTTGCTTGTACACTAAGAATAGGCCCCCGCGGAGACCTAGTGGGAGTCCCCCCTGGAGAATGTGCCATCAGAATGGCAAAAAAGGGTAAAATTGTGCACTCATTATAACTACTTTAAAAATTCAAACTGTAAGGCAAATCAAAAAGAAACTGGAAAAAAACAGGATTTTGGTATAACCTGTTGCCTCCTGTTTAGTAGAATGCAGAGCAGCTGGTGATTATACAAGTATGTTGGAAACAAGAGGAGGCATATGTAAGACTGTAAATCTGAATACATTCAGTGAGACTCCCCTTAGAGCTAATGTACAGTAGCTATTACGACCTTACTCATTCTGAATGGACCCTAAGAAATAGTGTAGCAGATCTGATCATACAACCAGATTACAAAGGGCCCCCAATCTAATGAAGTTCATATTTGTTTGTCATGCCTGCATGCTACATGAATACATTTTGGGACCTCTGATTTCTAACCGAACATTTTTTATAATTTATATTTATACATGCTTTTCATCACATGCTGTGTTCTACACACTGAAGGTTTTTGTCTGATGAATGTTCAAAAATGCTTATTTTTAAAAACCTCACAATAAATATTATGTGATCACGGATAGAAAAAAGATGTTTCTAAAAGTTTATGACAACATCATATCTCAGTCACAGCAGACTAAAGGAAATACTGGTAGAGATTCTTTAAGTTTTTTTTTCTTTTTTCAATGCAGGTTGCGATATAGTTGGTATCAACTGTTCATTTGACTACCACACAGAACTCAAGACAATCAAGATGATGAAGGATGCTTTAGCTGCAGAGGGCTTATCACCCTATCTTATGACCCAGCCTCTTGGGTATCATGTGCCAGAGGTGGACAATAACGTGATTGGCTACTATGATCTCCCAGAATATCCATATGGTAGGTGACACATTTTACTTTTCATATCTATCTATTTATTACTTTATAGTGATTCTCAATAGCTTCACAAGGATATGCCTCTGATTACATTTTAACTGCTGATATCTTGTGCAGTTAAACACATTGAATCATGCAAATAATGAAAATTAAAATGCTTTTTTAAACATATAGTAATTAAGGATACGAAATTTTTCACTTTTATATTTATTTACAGGTATGTAGCAATCTAACAGAAAAGACAATTTATTTATTTGTTTGTCTGTTTGTTTATGTATTTGTATTTGTTGAGGAACAAATTTATTTGGAAACTTTATTTAAGCAATGGAACCTCGTTTGATGACAAGGTGGGATTGCCGAGACTATGCGCGTAAAGCATATGAAATTGGTGTTCGCTATATTGGAGGGTGCTGTGGGTTTGAGCCGTACCATATACGAGAGCTTGCTGAAGAGGTTTGTGTAATGTAATCTCTAAAATTACTATAAAAATTCACAAACTGATATTCGCTAAGATTGCTTTCAAACATATCATGATGACTGTATATAATCAATTGCTATAGTTATAACGACCTATAATAGTGGTTCATTTAGAATATTCTTTCTTGTGCTGTTGCATGTTGTAATATAATATAATAGTACTTAATATTATCCATTGTTGGCTTTTTTCTGTGTTTTAATCTATGATGCTTAAATTACTTGCCCCATATTTGTTGAATATCTTTTACCATACAGGAATAAAAATTACCATGCATTAAGACATGTTTGATTGTTATTTCACATTTATCAGCTTGCTCCTGAAAGAGGAGGAAAGCGACCACCTGGAGCTGATAAAAATGGAGTTTGGGGTGATAGCATGGCAGAGTCCACTATAAGTAATCACACCCCCACAAGGTAAATAAAATTCATGATGACATCAGTTAAAACTTTTTCTGATTTTCAGTTTTTTAGTTCTGAACGCAGAGTTCTAAAATCTCACATACTGCAATAAAGCACAACTGTACTACATGTAGCAATAGATAAAAACACTAGTTTCAAAGAAATATGTATTTTGATGATACAGCTAACAGGTACCCTTTGAACCATTGGCAACATAAAAGCCCAGCTGAACATTATGTAAGAGAGTCAACTGTTTTTACTATTTGTAAAATACAACTGTATGTCAATTTTGGAAATGTGTTTTATTCTAATTTTTGCCATCTGAAAATATAAATAGTAGTTTTTGGAAAGGGATGTATAACAAACTTTCAAAATTTATTTTTCTTTATTATATTTCAAATTATGTCAATAATTGCCTCAGACCTTTGGAACAATTTCATAATGATCTTGAGTAAATCTTCTTCTTCCAGAAACAATAAAGAATACTGGCAGAGTGTGGTTCCAGCCTCAGGCCGCCCAGGTGGACGTTTGGTCAATGAAATTGTCAGCTATGAGGGACAACTGAAATAAGGAACCAGCACTTCATAATTACGTATTTTAACTGGAAGAAGCTGATAGATCTATAAATCTTTGAAAGAATTGTTAAATGAGTTTAAATCCTAGAGTGTAGGTCAATGGTGTTTTTTAGAAAAAAAGCTTATAAAATGTTTAAGCATTTGTGCTTTTCTTATATTTACTTACTTTTTCAAGAATGTGCACATTGTGAAAACCATCACCTATGTTTATGTGTCATGGGAAACTTTTCTAAAAGGCATTGGCTGCCAACAGGCTTACTAGCTGACTGTTAGTGATAGTGAAACATGGGCAATCAGCTTTGAAATCATCTAAGATATCAACATAACTGCGAAGAATTTGACCGTATCACATCTCATGCTAACCATGCAGGTTGTAGGGAGGGGCACACATTATTATAACTGCTCTGAGTATAAAAGAAACAATATACCAAAATTATTAAATTATTTATCAACTCAACGTACTTCCATCTTTGGAGTTCAACAGCCGTGTTGTTTCTTAGTGAAGGGTCATCCCTATCAGCAGTGCCTTTGTATTGCATGACGAGGCCGATGATGGTCCAAAGATCTTTTTAAGAGCTAAATAAGCATGTAAACGCTCAACACTTTAAAACAATTAAAATATTTTATCAAATGTAGTGAAGATAAATTCACAGTTAGATCATTTTGATGTGCAAGTACTAGTACATGTAGCAATTAAAACATTTAAATGAGATAGCACACAGTAATAGAGTATCAGTTAAAGAAGGCAAAATCACAACATTTTGGCGAAAGCAAAGTATCCCTACTCTCATTGACGAGATGCCTTCTATTTCCATCCACAGTGCCTCTAAGCATTTTGGACCACAGTGTGCTCATCAAATTTTATTTGCATATGTACTCTGTTGCTTATGATCAATATAAATCTGAGCGACAGTTTTTTAATTTGATTTTTTACCTCAGCAAATCTTCGTAAATAAAACAAACATTTAAATTGACTTACTATATCTAACTATTTTACGTGCAATATACTGTATATTAAAATGCACTCGTCCAATACTGCCATTATAACAAATATGAAGCGATTCTACAGAAAAGTAGATGATGTTTTACTGATTGTAATATGAGGTTGTCTGTCAATCGGCAAATTTTCACTGCTGGGAGGTACTTTTTAAGTTACGCTGAATTGACCACTTATTTTTATTAATTTTAATTTTTTTATTATTTTGGGTACATCATTTGCCTAAATATCAGTAATTGAAAAAAATATCAATCAATATGTTAATAAATTGCATAATAAATCCCTTGGTCTCATTTGTTTAGTTATGATAAAACCCGCAAGAGGTGATATAAGTTGTGCAGTGACGTCATTGAAGGGCTAGCATGGTAATCTACGCTAAACCAAAAAGTTTTTAAAACGCTACTGTAAACCATAACAGAAATGGTGGCCCAGAACTGGTGTAGATTCAACAGGGAAAATAATTTAAGCCAGCAAAGCATTTTTGATGTTTGAGTAAAATATATCTAGAGTGTTTTCCCCAAATGACATCCAGAGTTTAATGTGATGGTAGTAAAAACAAAGTGATAGAGACCTATAATACTGAGCTTATAAGCTTTATTATGGCTATGATTAAAATTTCATACAGCATTACAAAACTTCTGAAATAAAGTGAAAATGTTTGGTCATTGTAACCACTGTTCTTTGTGTTATGTTACCATTCCTCTAATCTATAAAGTAACTGCCTTAAAGGCCTCCATCTAATTTTTTGAAAAGATTGCCTTGAAATTCAAAGGCAAAGGAGTCAACTGTCCAAGATTCAACTCTCATGGAAGTAACCCAAGTTCATTTTTCATAGAAATCTTTAGTTTACATGTCCATGTAAGCAGTCTACATTCTTAAAGCTTTTATTGGTAATGAAACAAATATATTATCAATGATTAGACTGCCCAGCAATCTAAAAGCTTTCTAAATCTAGTCCTCTGCGATCTACACATTAGGACTACTTTTTTTCTTTATTTACATTATTATTATTATTATTAAATGCACCATCACATGTAAAGTGTAAGTCTACATGGTCTAGTATTTACAATTTTGAGCAATCTTGGATATGGGAATCATCATTTTTATTAAAATATGATACATTATATACAGGTCAGTTAAGTAGCATTGCATATAAAACAAAATAAATGCTAATAAAAAAATCACTTCATGTCGGATTTACTATGAATCCTTCTTCATGAGCTAAAATCAAACTGAGTGTTGAAATGAACCCCTTAAAACAGCTTCAAACTTATTGCGTGCATCTAATAATCTTATTAGACACTTTTTGGAACCTTCCACTTTGCATTAAGACAAAATAGCATACGCATACACATACAAAATTTTTAAAGTAAAACTAGGATATTCTGGGACACTGCCAAAGGTGTGTTCGACAAACTCTGTGGTTTGGAGAGGAACCATGTCCAGAGCATGTGCAGACATATTGTTTCATCCCTGAAGCATGGTCCCTAATGGACAAATTGGACGTTTGACCATTTTCTACACTGCATGTAACACCCATTGTAATCCAGTCCTGAAAAAAATCCAAACAGTATTACCAATTCATGGATCAACTAAATGAAAAAAGCATAGATAATTGGTAAACTGCACTTTTCAGTGGAAAATAGATAAATTAGCAATTGAAATAAATCCATTGGCAATAGTTCCTTTTTTTCATAAGGTCAACATTTTAGACTAATGACTTTCAGTATTTTATGTCATGTTGTCATAAAGAGATTATGTTCACTGTTATTAGACATTGTTATCGCAAAGACAGAGGTTATGTCAGCTTTTTCAAGAAAAGAAAATTGAAATTAACTCACCATCAAATCATTTTCCAGTGGGAATGGAGCCACACTATTGCTAGGTGTTGAAACATCACTGGTGCTCGTCTTTACACTATATTTACAAGTTGAAAGATCACCAACCCCAGGGGGACCCTAAAAATTAATTGAATGTATAAACTTCTTCTCCAAGTCAGTAGCCTTTTTTTTTTCTTTTGCTAACTCCCAGCTGTTAAATGCACCAAATATATAAGTTACACTGACATTGTTAAAATCAACAGACAGGTGTGATTATAAAAACAGTGTGCATGTAAATGAAACAACTAACTACAAAACTTCCAAAACATACGGTTAATGAGATTAAATATAAAAATATGGTTTAACATGTATAATACTTGGAACTCGGCAGATTTTTAGAAAGACTGATATCAAAGGGTACAGGTGTGAATATAACAAGAGCTACTATGTATTTAAGTGTTTGGAAGACAGAAAGGAAAAGGGGTATAAACTACAAAGAAAAGAAGGTAATTTGGAGAGCATTTCCTTTTAAGGAAAAATCTGCCTGCATGTTATATAAGCAAAATGAATTAGTTAAAAAAATCCTGTTCCCTGCCTTCCCTTCCTCTGTTTAGAATAATATAAGATGGTCTTTGGCATGCGCCACTCATAGTCTGAAAAAAAATGACCATTCCTTACCTGAGAGCCATTGTATCCCCTGGGTCCCTGTGGACCAGACATCTTACTGATTGTCATTAACTCCTCATATACGCTGCTGTTCATGGCAAGTAAAACCTGGTTTAGGGAAGAAGCTTGCATTTGGGAAGTGGCATTGGTCTGAGAGATCTTCACAGTTAATGAGTTAATCTGCTGCCGTACATCACTGAAATTTGTTTGACTTGATCTTTCCAGCTGAGCTATCTAAAATAAACAAAGGAAAATGTGATATTAAAATTATTTTTAACACAGCATTTTTTTTTTTTTTTTTTTTTTTTTGTCAGTCCCTGATGATAAATTGAAATCGTTTTTGTTTTTAATCTATTTTTCACTGGACCTTAGAAATGACAACCCCTTCAAATAAAAGTATTTGATGTTCATATTTCTTACTGAAATGTACAGGAAGATATGGCAGCCTAAGTGACTTGTCATTTAGAGCTAAATTATGCAATGAGAAGTGGTATAAAACAACGATTCAGAATGCAGGGAAGGGGATGAGCAAGAGGATGAGCAATGATTCTTGTGTAGAAAGATATTGCTTTTTTTTTTCAATGAAAATTCAATTTAGTAGAAAAATTCTGGATACTAGGGCACCTTACATATTTTCTCGCTGAAGAAAATGATAAATATGTGTAGATGAAGATTAATCACTTACTTCTATTGAATGTCTCACTGCAAGCTCTTCTGAACTCTTTAATCTTAAAGAGGAATTCTTATTCTGTGCTTCTAAGGTAATTATCTGAAATATTACAAGTTTAAACACATCTGATATCTGAATGTTACATTGAGATTCACAGACAAAATGTATTCTTCATTTTTTCAGTGAGTTTCAGAGGACCATGGTAACTCACCTTTCTACTATGAGCATGCCTCTGTCAATAAAAAAAAAGTTAGAGGTAAGCAACTAGTAACGAAGTGAGTTTCTAGCATCCTGTGAAAATCAGGGCGTCTGCCGAGGTACCTAGACCACGCTCAAGAAAATACCCCTAGCTGCTCGAGGGGCGTCTCAGACAATTCAGCTGATTACATTGATGGCACTTAAGCTAGAAACTCTAGTTGGATCGATCCAGCTGGTACAGTGTCTGAATCTGAAGGCTCCCTAAGTTAGTTATCACAACTGAACTGGAAGTGAACCTATAGTTAATTGATCTTTCCATCACTACATAAAGATGTTTGAAATATGAAAGAAAACATAGTAATTTAACATAAAATCCTCTTAATTGGGTAATTGGCTGAGTAACTGGGTGTGGCACCCCACAGGTAAATATCATTTGCTGACATCATAAGTATTTTCTATTGCCATGACGATCTGCTGAACACATCAAAATATGATCTCAGACATTAGAGAGGCCAGCCTTTGTTTGCTTAAGATACAATTAACCCCATATATCTACGTTGTCTAGCTTGAGCATGAGAGCAGCCAAAAAAGACAGAGAAATTCATCTCCCATGAAAGACAGTAATGTCTTTTTGACATTTTCTGGGCTTTTCAAGGCTTATCTAGCTTGGTGCAAACAAGCAAACCCTAAACACTGGCACCTGGGGAGAGGATAATTAGGCCTCTAATTGATTAATCATAATAGTTTATTTCTCTAGAAGATTGCAAATGATCTTTAACTAGTGACGCTGTCTATATTTTTGGATGCAAAAGTTCAAGATCAAGTACTTAGACCAGTTTTTTTACTGATCATTTTGTTGATTAAGCAAGAATAGGCCTCAAAAATGTTTATTTTTTTCTAATTTTAGCAAAGGTTAATAGCACTTCATCAACTTCAGCCTTGATATATTTTTTACATTAGCTAATGTTTTCATTTTGAAATAGTAGCCAGATAAAATAAGTAGTTACTTTTTTCAAAATATTATTATTAAAATAATTCAGATTTGCTAACAAAAAGGTCTCACTGGATATAATCAAAAGAAGTGAATTGGTACATGTACCTAAAAATGATTTAAAAAACAGCCATGCCATGTACATGACATTCTAACATAGAAGAAAAGATTTTGAAAATCACTAAACAGTCAACATACATACATATTTTCAATCCGCATTGATTTGGACTGCCAATGACTAAATTCTGAAGCCTTGAAATATTAGATGCATTTTCTTTCTTTTTCAGCCAATGAGAACATTTTAGGTTAACATTTCCAATAAATTCATCAGCAAAACTGGAAACATAGAGAGAATAACATATGAAAGGGGGGCTTAAAAATACTATTCATCAACTTACCTTATTTTGCAAACTGTCTATGAGTCCATTCTGTATAGATGCATTTGCCTGAAGACTCTGTATAAATATTCTGTTGTTAGCTACTTTGGCAGTCAGACTGACATTGTTTTCGCCAGGGGAGGACTGCAAGATTTGTGACAATACATCATACTGAAACACAAATAATTACAAGAAATAAGTACCCAGTAAGTTTGGAAAGACATTTCAAAGACTTTGATCCCTCCAAAAGAAACAATCTAATGGATTATTTCATTCTATAGATATATATACATCTGACTTGTTTTCTATCTCATTGTAAAAATTAGTTTGTTAAAGCTTAATGTTTGCCTCTCAATAAAATGATCAGATATCAAAGCATTTGGTTCCAGATATAAGCTTATATCATGTAACTCATAGCAGTAGATTCCATATGATAATGATGCTCGATTTTTTCTTTAGTCTCCCATTGATCATCTGATAAAACCTTTAATTCTGTGTTGAAATTTATCAACAATTTTTAGCATTAAATCATGAACTACTTCCACATTGCCTTGTACCATCAATGAATACAAGTTCAAGTTAATTTCTTTTCCAAACCAAGTGAAGCAATATATTTATAATACCTTATTTTGCAGATTTTCATATTTCTCCTTCATGGCAGACATATTACTTCTTAGTTCTCTAATGGCTTCCATAGCTGTCTGCAGCATAATGGCTTCTGGGGACTTTGTCGTATTTACAGGTTCACCTGTGATGGGGCTTGCTTTACCCTGGTTATTACTGCCTCCACCTGGACATGGAAAATAAAAATGAAATGCATCTTTTCCAAAAAGTATAATCTAAAGGTGTGCCATCCTAATGTAATATACAAGAACTGCAACAAAATGTAATATGTTTAGTTTGAACTATCACTAGCTATGGGTTTTCTTTATTATTCTCTACTGAGTAGCTGTAGGTGACTTTTAGTAACCACAAAATATTTTATTACTCATGAAAATTACTAATATACTTTTTTGCCAAATAGAAATGCTTTACTAAATCAATAGTAAATCTTGCAAAACCATGAAATATTTTACGTTTTTTTAGCTACACTATGATTTGCATTTGAAAACACTATGATTTGCATTTTGCTAAAGTGGGCACACTGAAACTTACCTATCATTCCTGGTGCAACAGTAGCAAGAATGGCAATGATCAAAGCGGTCAAGGCTATCACACACACAATGAGAACAGCAAGACATGTACAATGTAAACTGCGCTGCCATTTTTTTCTTGTCACTTCGTTTTCTTCTTTCTGTTTCATTGCAGATTCTAAGTGGTCATAAAGTGGATTCAGTTTTTTCTTCCCAGACCTGTGAAGGGTTAGAAAACCATGCTGTGAGCTATGAAGACAACTACTGAAGGCAGATCTGATTGAAGAAATTAATCTTGATGCTTTGGAGAATTTCACTGATACAACTGGTGCTGGCATGGTTTATACATAATCATTGACTCCACTTGCTAAATCAGTCACATATAAAGAAACTGGTGAAAAACAACAACTTATATATATTCTACAAAGTTGTGTAGTTTGAATAAAAATACGCTATTAACCTTTACATTTTGACAGTCTCCAAATGATTTAAAAGATTTAGGTGTGTTTTACACAATTCAACTTGGTAAGTTTATAGTAATCACAAAAAAAGTGCTGATTATCTCAATTCTTAAGATGCAGTCTCATGAAAAACACATTAAAGAACAGAGAAACAGCTAAGAAGAGCATGTATTAATGCCAAGTTGATTTCAAGTAATTATCTAAAATCTGTTCATTATCTTTATTTTAAGATGCAGTCTCACGCAGAATACATTAGAAAACATAGAAATAAAAGCACAACTAAATATTTTTTTCTGGACGTAGGTGTGTTGCTAGACTAAAGCATGGCAAAGAATATACACTGAAGTAATGTCTTAAATCAATTCCAAAATTGCTATGGCAGCAAACAACACAAATCTAAATTAATCTAAAATTTCTTGCTACAAATTGTAATTATAATGAGATTTTAGCTTTGGCGTCAATTTTTATTTCTATTCAGCCCTAAGTAAAAAAACTGAACAATGCATTTCAATGACTCTATGATTTAAGTATTTAACCCTTAAACCACCATTTCTCCAATAAAATGCTCTTTAAACAAAATAACTTTAAATTTTGATATGGCATAAAAATGTTTTAAATATATGTTATGCATTACCTTTCCCCTACATTATTATTGATAAGCTGTGTTTTGGACTGATTCATTGATATGGGAGAGTCTCTGGAATTATCTGTAGCATCCAACATGCTAGGCAAACTGTGGAGCGGAGGTGGAGAGGGTGGACGTCTTGAAAAAAAGGAGCATGTGATGAAAATTAAGTTAAAATTCTTGCTATGCACAACCAGTGCAATTTTTTGTATAAGTTAACATTTTAGAAATGAAGAAAAACCAAAAAAGTAACATTAATTATTATAATATACAGCAGTACAGCATATAACCATCTAATACCACACCTACCAACATGAATTAAATAAATGAAATTGCTCAGAGAGCAAAGCAACTTGTAAAATTAGTTTTTAAAACCCAAAAACATAAGCAAAATTAAAGAGTACACAAATACAAGCCATTTGATGTATGATACTTCATGTTTTAATGAATTTATGACCATATTATAATTAAGCACTTTATACCTATATGCAACATTGAAAACAAATAATAAACAAAACAAAAATTAACTAAAATTAACAATTAATCAATTTACTTATTTATCATCAACAAAATCTAATCATTTCTTCCTTGGCCAATTTGTGACCTTTCCTGAAAATGTCATCAAAATCCTTCTATTATTTTATGCTTAATACTGTGTACAAACAATGAGTAAAATAATTAAAAATATAAAATGTAAATATATATGATATAACAAAATACTTACTTGTAATCTGGCAATTCTTCATACATTTCATTGTAATGGTGTGCACTCTCCGGTCTTTTCTTGCCATCGTACATATTGCTTACTGCCCTTTTGTTGTACTTGTCATAGGGTGTAGACGGTTGGTACCCAGCTGGTGCCCCCTGCGCATAAGGAGGTTTCCCCACGGTCTGCATTGGAATGTCAGCGTGGACACTTTCACAGTCAGCTACACCTGTTAATTGACAATAAAAGATTCAAAGGTTTGACATTGTTGTTTGCCTTCAGTGAAATTTCATTCTGCTTCAAAGATGTTCACAAATCAACAGATGAACATTCTTCTCAAATTTTGTTTTGTTTCTCTACTTCTCACTAAACCTACTTTTACACCTCCAACTTGGGTAATGACTCGGTCTTTTTAATGGGGAAATTGTGAATTTTACAGATACTGTATCTTTTTAAGTCATAAATTCTTAAAATTAGAACATTCTTGTTGAGTGGTAGCCACAAAATTGAAAAGCAGGCCACCCTACAGTTCTATTCTATACAGTCAAAGCACTAACAATGCTATACAGATTATGATTTTTAATGATTTCAAAATTAATTATCTGAACGACTAACAATTTTCCCACATTAAAAAAATCAAATCATAACTGTACCTTTATATATTTCAAAAACTTGTCTAAGCTTTTGCCTATTGATAAAGCTTATACCCAGTAGCCATCAGCCTATAACACCTGGTGAGTTGGCAGCTCAAGAGATCATACTGGGCTTGAATACAAACATGTACAGAATGTCTATCAGCTGGCAAATCACTATTTTATTGGCCAGCCCTATTATGATAACAATTAATGACTTGAGAAATAGATAGAGATTAAAATATGGGGAAGTTTGGCATTGGCTCAGTGATGCTATGATCGACGCAATATCATATGCATTTATCTTTTGCATTAACATCAGGGTGGACATGATAATATGTTTCCAATTTGCATGATCCAAAAAATTGATCATGGACTTTTTGTGGTCTGAATACATATTGAAGTACATGGTGCATAAATGGTAAATTATTAATTAATTTAATAGGGATGATCCATAATTCCTCTCCTGTTGCCTATTCCAGACAATAAAATCTACCATTCAATAGAAAAAAAGTTGCACTATTTCTTTGTTAGAAATTGCTATATACATGTACTCTAGTTTTGTTTAGATTGGTCGCATTGGCTTCCAGATAAAACAATCTACTATTTTTAATGGAACATGGCCAAGTTTTATAGTTTTATGGTACTCATGAATCTATAACCACAGAAATTCCAGCCAAAGTTTTATGTCTGGGGCTGTACATGCCCACAGGGTAAAAGAAGAATGATGAAGTGCTACTAATTTCAGTGCTATCAGGAGTTGCACAACAATAGATTTCATGTATGCAGTCATCAACGTAAAATCTCAAATGTTCTACAAGAAAAACTTGTTACACCTTAAAATGAAAAATTGGAATAGTGATGCATGGATTCCTGTGTCAGTTTTATGTATTGTGTATGAACATCATCCATTATGCATATTATTAAAAAATGATTCATGAGTGCATAAGCTCTCAAAAATGATTGCTACAAAATAGTACAGATGCACACAAAGAGTCTGATACATATAAAAACTCATGGTGTAATAATTTTGACTTAGATTGGAATTGATATGATGACTAAATGATAAAATGTCTTGCTACATTCAATGAAGTAAAATTTACTGGATAAGGGATTGTCTTCCGAGCACTATAGACAGTAGTATACACAAGTAAATCTTGATCCCTGTAAAAATATTAAAATGTCAAAATTCATTTGTTTAATTAAGGACCAAATGCACAGTCCTAGATTCCATATATCACCAATCTTACTAGTGAAAATTAGATCTGGAAAAACTGTTGTCTGAAACAAAAAGGACCCATATAAGTAATCAATGCATCTTATCCAGTGCATACACCTGTATACTGTTAGCTGCATTCAGAAGTGACTCATAAAAATGCACATATCTAGATCCTTAAGACAATAATATTTACCAAGCTGTCCAGTTGTCCATAATTGTCCAAGGGATGGTCTTGGGATGTGATGAAATGACACAAAAGCACTATCCATGTATGCTTCCAAATTTTAAGTTAAAATTCTTTAATCCTTTACTTGTTCAAGGTAAATTTAAATGACTAACATTTGCCTAGTCTTAAGTCTCTTTTGTTCAATTAAAATTCAGTAGCACATTTATACGCCTCGTGATCCGTGTGGTCTTTGAAATGGTGTGTCTGAACATATTTTTTTACCATAACTTATGCCACTGCACTTTAACTTCATGTAAGCCCATCAAAAACAGATTAATTCACTTGTACTCAAATGGCCCATATTCTTTTCACTTTCTGAAAATGCATTCCTTTTTTGGTTAGCTGTTGTACGTAGGAGTGAAATATGAGGATTACAAGTTTTCACTAACTCATATCAGCAATGAACAGTAAAAATCTAAAAATATTCACTTTCTGGGGCATTAGTGGCTTCAAGAATTACCTTGTTGAGGGGTACATGCAAATTAAAATGAAAGACAAATTGATTTTTAAAAACTCACAAAGGTACACCATAAAAATTCATTACCAAACACATATTTTCCTTCATTAGAGATATTTATACTGACTTAACATATGTCTGGGTAATTTTGTTGGACAAATTATCCCTGTATTTATCATCAGGTATAAACACACTCAAGTACATAAATGCACCTTCTCTCAGATGTTTAACTGTTAGTAATAGCACATATTAGTCTCCATCTACAGCATATCATATAAATTTAACCGTTAATTAACTTTAAGACAAGACATTCAACTTGGCAAATACCTTGCATCATACATGTATAATTAAGGCATTTAAAAACCTCGATTATCATAAGACATTTCAGTCACCACGTGCACAGACAAACAGCACACATCTTTTTGCTCATAAAAAGAATCCTGACTTTCACAATTCAACACCCTAAGGAATGCCAGATGATATCCGACTGAATACCAAGTTGTGGTGCACTGCATTCATTTGTACAAACAAAGACACTCAAGTATATAAATTAATAAATACCATATCTCACCTATGTACAAATCTCAATCCACCATTTCTAGGCTCACAAGAGCCCAAAAAATCTCCAACCAGGCTGTGGTCCTAAATTGTTTAACACTGAGGGAATACACCCAAACTTATTCAATACAAAACTCAGGGACTATGACCCAGTTATCCTACAGTAGCTGGAGTGGGAGCTTCCAGTATGATCAGGTTACCACTTGTACACCTCCCTCCTGTCAGACCTGTCCCATGCACATCTGATTCATTTCATCAGAATACATTATAACTGAAGGCTGGGCCTTGGAACTGGGTGACAGTGTCCATTAGTTTGCATAAGAAAAATTAGTCACTTTTGACAAGTCAGATATTATTTTCCTTGTGTGCTTGATGGCATAACTGGCACATCTGTTGAGGGGGAGATGCAGATGAGTGGGGTTTAGTCAGGTACAGAAGTGGGTGTCTTCAGGGTTGGGATTTTAAATATCACGTACTATAATAAACATCTTTTTGGTGTGCTTTTCAACCCGTATTTTGTTGAAGCACAGCAATTACACAGTTATCAGATATATTTTCAAATGTTTCATTATTTCATAAAAAAGTAAATGGAAAGCAATCTAATGATCATTGCTCTCTCTGCCCATGCCCTCTCAGAAAATTTTAAAAAATGAAATTACACTCAAAATGTGATACTAACTGTTCATGCAAGGAATACATACATGTTGCCGTTCACTTGGTTTGAAGGTGAATTCTTTTTAAAAATATAAGTCAAAGGGTCTTTTAGATTTTGGATTCAGATGGTCTGACTGACAATACTGACATGAGTGTGTTTTTGTTTTCATGCCAAAACCAACAGATTTTAATTGTCCCTTTAAGCATGCATGCTAGTTGTACTAAGATATTGTACATTATTGTTGATGAAAATAGTGACACAATTTTTTACTATGTAAATTCTCCTGTACAATACCAAAACATCATAGAAGTATGTTTTCTAACCTTATCTTCCATGCCGTACCTCCCTGTTCAATATCACTTTTGGCATTAAAATGTCAATGGAAAGTAAACTGTACTTCATATCATGATCTTATCTGTCCTCTATATCAAATCAAAACAATAATGCTAATGTCGTCATCATGTAAAACAAACTCTTGTCATGTCAAGTTAAGCTGACAACTCATATAAAAACAAAGACAATCTTGAACAAAACATTATATTATTAAGATATGTTATCAAACTATATACTTCCAAAAATGAAATCATTCTTCAATTTTGGGCTTCTTTTTTTAAACAATTCTCTGGCATTAAATAAATTATTCAGGCTGCAAATGTAAGAAAAATATCTTCATGAACAGATAAATAGTTGAAAAATGAATAAATGTAACCAAGATAATTTCAATTAATTAAGAGCCTTAAAAGTAAATTCTGCTAAAAAAAAATGAAAGAAAATTCACCATGTAGTGTATTGATAATCAAAACTCTATGTCATGCTGAATACCTTGTTTCTGCTTATGTGTTCCAGCAAGTCTTGGATGAACACTAAACACTGACAGCATCTCTACAAAATAATTGCTGAAACATGACATCTAGAGTGCCTCAATGAATTGTCTTGATCTCTTCTTTACAGTCTTGTTTTATTGCCCACTTACAATTACAATTGGTGTGCAAAGTTTCTATCTTGTGACTTCCTGTCTTTTTTTCTCCAAAAGTCAACATAACTTTTTTATCAAAAGCTGGGACAAAATGAAAATAGCAGCTAAGTTACTGAACTGTGAAATTTTCAATGCCAAACTTTTTTCGTGTTTTAAATTCCACCAAATTTGATGACTCAAACAGAACAAAAAGGCCAAAAGCTTCAATTACACATGGCAGTAAATGTTTGTATGGCTGTCAAGTGCAAAAAAAGTACAAAATGTATGCCCTTGTAAATCATGACAAAATCAAATGCTTAATAATTTCCTAACAGTATCTACATGCATTTTTTAATCAAAATACCAGCTTTGATTACCAAGGTTTGTTTAAATAACACTTTTGAAAAAATATTCTTCTAGGTTCATAGTTTATTATTATTTTTTTTAATTATTATTATTTTTTTCTTTTCTTTAGTGATCACATCCCACAACCGTGACACAAGCTAGATGGACTTTGCAAGGGCAAATTATAGAAGACTCCTGGATTAAATATAGGGTATCTTCATTAAAAATTAAAATAGAACATGGACAAAAATAGAGAAAATGCGGTCAAAGCACTAGAGTTGGCACATGTTTGTCCTGCCCTACATTTTAGACCTACGTACATGATATATATATCAAACTGGGAAAAAATCAAGTCAAATTGCAATCTGTCATCTGAAGTAGTTTCTGCCTAGGAATATTAGCAGATATTTGGATACCTATTCTTTAATTGATAGCAGTATATATTTCACCATATTAGACTTAAAACAGCGACAGGTACACTAACTGCCATATATCATCATACCAAACTAATCAGAGTATATGTAATAATCATAAAATGCACAAAAATTTGATATATTAATAAGTCTTAGCTATTGATAAAATGCATCATCATCTGTATAATAGTGGGTGAGTATGGAGGGGAGGGGGGCAGGCTTCATTCATATTTTCTCCTTTCCAAGGCATTTAAGCACAGGCGTGTTTTGATAAAAATCAAAGGTGCCAATTCAGGGAAATAGAAAAGCTGCTTAACCTACAGAACCAGTACTGACCCATCCTGTTCTTCTGATCCTTGCTATTGGAGACTGTATGCCCACTGTAACATTCATTGGATTTTGTAACGCAGTGTGGTGCTACACGTATATAATGACTAAATAACCAGTAAAATTCTGATCATGAAACCAATCTCCTGGCTTCTGACCTGGCTATAAGTTTTATCTATACTAGTAGTACTGGCATATACTAGTACTGTATATATACTTTATTTTGAATACTAAAATGTTTATATAGATAGGCATTTAACAGGCTCCCTTCACAACTAATTTTACATATATGCACATAACATACACAGACAACTAAATAAAAAGACATCATGATCCCTGACAAGAACTCTAGGAGTAGTTCAAGCAAATGTAATGTCATAAATCCTCATAACTTTTTTCACAGTTGAAGCTGCACATCAGAAAAACAAGTAGAGTATATAAAGTGTCCGTGAAAATATGTCAACTTACCCTCTGATTGCTCAGATGTGGTACTCAAAGGAGTGTAACTATACTCCATTTTCTTTTCACAGGAAGTTAATTCTTGAGAACGCAGCCTGGGCATAAAAAGTTTGCTGGTTGTTAAGCCAGTGACGTGAAAGCATAATCCAGTTAATAGTGTGCACACATGTGTAGGCCCCCATGACATACCAACATCTCTAATAAGTAATGTAGGTCAAATGAATTTAACACGAAATTTCACAATTGCTTTTTAATGCCTAAACCATTGAAAAACTTTGAAGCACAGTTTCAGTTTTGCTTTTGACAACTTTCTCTAAATTAGTGAAAGAACTCAAATGGAACATTCCATTTTCCACGACTTATGAGTTAACTTTAAATCAGGAGTGGTGCCACTACCCATACACACAGCTGTCCCGGATCTTTTGTAACCCACAAAATGAAGAGGTTGCATGAAAAAATTGTCCTTAAATTACTTCCACCTTCACAAATTTACAAAAGAAAGTCGATAAAGTAAAAGAATTTTTAGAATTCTCAACCAGATTAATATAGCCAGATATACTGTGGTTGCAGCATGTTTCTATCCAAGTGCACTCTTTTCAATAAAAACTGCATTTAGGCTGGCCTCACATAATACATGTAAGTTACCACAGAGATTGGCAGAGCAAGGGGTCACATGACATATTTCATGAAAGAAGCCCATTTAGTTTGAATCACCTGCACACCTTCAGTCTGGACTATATATACACATGTTTATTTACACTGACAAAAGTTCAGACAGGTTTGGTAGTACATGTACCTGGCGTCTTGAGATTAGTCCAGCATGTCGGAGACAGGCAATTTCAGTAACTTCACGTAATAACTTTTTACTGTAGTCTGTATAACTCCTTATAATATGTTATGTTAAGTCTACAGATGCAGAGTAGGCTTGTTGACTATTATGATTAAGAAGCCATTGATTAAGAAGTTCATGAATTAAGCCATTGTCTTGGCTTGATACTAAAGAGTGCGAGTCTCCACATATTGTAAGAATGTACCTGAGCAAGCGACTAGTGAACATAAAATGATTGAAACTGGTTACTGTTGTCAGCGTTGGACTTCCTCATAGCGATTTTCACGTAACTATTTTGACCACGAATCTGGAAGGTAGTATTAATGCGTTATCCAACCTAAAAGCATTCAATGGTGTCCGTATTTTGAGCCTGTTTCTAAATTTGATTTATAGATAAATTCTGCGTGGTTCCTGACAAGCAGATGCCCACCTGAATCAACTGATATTAAGCAGCATGCAGTTGATTACTGGTGGATTGGCAACTATGTTCTTATTTAAACTTAAAACTTAAACCACAAGCATCTGTTTTGTTCAACTTATAAAGGATACTTGAATTCCATTTATTTTAACTTTTATATGCGCTATATAAATTAGAAATATTATTCAAAAATGGAATTAATATTTTTGCTTCAATTTTCTTATTTTTAAAAAAGCACTGCTTAATCACTGCATTATTATTAGAAATACCCACATTTTTTTAACAAAATAAAGATAGCCAACATTAATGTTGTGTTAGTCTTGTCTAACTTATAGTGACTAAAATGGGGTGAGAGGGGAATAACCACTAACTGCATTGACAGAGAACTGAGAAAATTAGCAAAAAGATATTGATAACCAACAGAAAAGTCACTTCAAACCCTGAAAACACACACACACACACACAATGATTATTATATCAAAATTACTTGATACATGTAAATAAATGAATAAATATCAAAACAAAGAAATGAAATCAAAATCAATTAAAATAGAATAAAAACAATAGATAGATGTTTCTAGTACAAATTCTGATAACCCACGCAAACATGATGTATCAAAATTTAAATAACCTGAATCATGATATTTTCCTCTTCTAGGATAAGAACCAAACTCCTGTGCAGCTAGTCTATTGTCATAGAAGCTTGGCTTTAGGTAGCCATCCTCTGGATAGTGTGATGGAGGAACGGACTGCATTTCTCTGGGAAGATCTCAATCTGAAAAGTAGAAACATCAAGATGCATTTCTGTGAAATATCAACACATCATAGTCATTAGAGGTCAATAACAAAAAGATGAAATATTCTGATAGAGGTTTTTGTGTTGCTATTCTAGATGACAATCAGACACTAGAAAAGTCCATGAGGTGTTCTCATTGCATTCTTTTGTATAAGCACTGATGGCACCCTTGAGAACAAGTAAATGCAAATTTACA